GATTTAACACGTTGACAGGACAATGAAACAAGAAACTAATAGTATGATATGATCCAAGTGCATCATGCACAAGATTTAGCCTAGTTTTCAGATTAGCAGTTATGTGACCTTTTACTGGAGCTATGATGGACAGTTATATGGAAGCTTCTCTGTAATTCAGACTTTAAAAACCTAAGCCACATACAGAGAGGACTAGCATAACTGCAGCCACTATATCACTGCAGATGTTGATAATGGATGTGCTTGACTTTTCCTTCCCTACTTATACATCCCCATTTCCAAAAAAGTTGGGACGCTGTGCAAAATGTAAAAAAAAACATTTTTGAAAATAATTTTTTGCTGAAATAAGAAAGGCCTTCCCTGTAATAGACGTCGTCTGGATGGCAGCATATGTTGCCTAAACATGTGTGTATCATTCAGCATTAATGGTGCCTTCACCGATGTGCCAGTCAGCCATGCCATGTGCACTAATGCACCCCTATACCATTATGAATACTGGCATTTGAACTGTGCACTGATAACAAGCCGAGTGGTCTTTAGCCCGGAGGACACAATGTCCATGATTTATAAAAAGAAATTCAAATTTTGATTTGTCAGACCACAGGACACTTTTCCACTTCCCCTCAGTCCATTTAAAATGAGCTCGGGCCCAGAGAAGGTGGCAGTGTTTCTGGATCCTGTTTATATATGGTTTCTTCTTTGCGTTTAAGAGTTTTAATTATCATTGGTGGATGTAGCACTGAACTGTTTTCATAGACAGTGTTTTTCAGAAGTGTTTCTGAGCCCATGCAGTGATTTCCACTAATGTCTGTTTTTAATGCAGTGCGCCTGAGGGCCCAAAGATCATGGCCAGCCAATACTGGTTTTTGGCCTTGTCCCTTACATACAAAGATTTCTCCAGATTCTCTGAATCTTTTAATGATATTATGCACTGTAGATGATGAAAAGCAAAAGTTCTTTGCTATTTTATGTTGAGAAATGTTAGTCTTGAATTGTTGCACTATTTGATTGTGCAGTCTTTCACAGAGTGGTGAACCCCTCCTCGTCTTTACTTCTGAAAGACTCAGCCCCTCTGGGATGCTCATTTTATACCCAATCATGTTATTGACCTGTTGCCAATTAACCACCAGGTGTTTTTTTCAGCATTACACAACTTTGCCAGCCTTTTGTTGACCCCCTCCTAACTTTTTTGGAATGTGTTGCTGGCATCAAATTCAAAATGGGCATATATTTTTCAAAAAACAATAAAATTTCTCAGTTTCAACATTTTACATGTTGTCTTTGAAGCATTTTCAGTGAAATATAGGATTTAAATGATTTGCACATCATTGCATTTTGTTTTTATTTACATTTTTCAAAGCATCCCAATGTTTTTGGAAATGGGGTTGTAGATCACCTGAGTGATCTTTAATCTTTATCAATTGAAATGGCACCATAATACACATCTTGATGGAGAAACTGTGACAGTAGACTTCAGCTAATGTAATGGCATCAAGTTTGCTGTTCTAAAATCCCCACGTGACTCATGTTGGGTCATGGACTTTTTGTGATGAGACAGCATGTGGGAGTCCAAAATATTATGCACAGACATGGATCATACTTTCATTGGTAAAGATAATTAACAGTGTAGAGGCCAAGTGATCCCTTATTGCATACAGTAGAATATGCTGATGACACATGACCTTTCCCAATTAAAGTTATGTGAACAGAAATTACAATCAATGTTTTTAAAAATATATTAGAATAATCATGGCTGCCTGCATACTGAACTAGCTAAGTGTCTGCTTGTGAAAATAGGTTGCATTTATTTCCGAGGAGTGGGGGTTAATGAGATGTTTAATATATTAGCTGCTAATGGCCACTAAAGCTTGAGGTTATTCCTCAGCACTGAACCATTACAGGCTTTTATCTCCTGTCTTCAGAGCGCTGCATCACACGCTTCTTTCATTGCTCCTCATATGGAGCCATCCATGGAGAGCACTGTTATGCACCAAAGCACCCTGTGTGATCTTTTGAAGCTTCATCATGCTTTCCTGTTTAACACACAGCTGCATTTAAGCTCTGGGGCACAATAAGAGAAGGGTATGTAGGTATACCATACTGCACCAAACCATATTTTCTTTGCTCTGCAATAGCCATGTGCTAAAGGTTGTGTTGCATTGTGAAATCCTAGAGCTAATTTCAGAAAACTAGGGCAGCATAAGGTTAGCACATGAGAATTCTTGAATTTAAATCACTGGGGTTTTGATTAGTCAACATTTTATGTGACTGGAAGCATGTAGAAAATGCCACACTGTGGTATGCTATCCACAGAACATGCAAGCATCCCTTGATAAGTTATGGTTTTCTTAGCTTTCGTTTTATTGATGGTTACCAGTAATGAGATTCTTTAGCAGTATTTCCAGCTACCTAGCTCTTATGCAAGAAAAGAGAAGCCTCCCTTGATTCATGTGGATGAATCATCCCTCCACAAATGACATTGAGATTGGGTTTGATAACAGGGCCAGTGGAGCACAGGAAACAAAATGGACAATCACCTCCCAACCTAATGGAGTCCTGTATTTTATGACCTTCATAAAACATACTCTTCCTCCTGTCCAGCCCCCATGCTACCACACTGTGTGACACTATTGTGCAGGGTTAGCAAAGGGTTATCACCAATCATTATGGGTTGTCATCTTTCTCTACCATCTTAATTTGGTTCCAGAAGATGCATTTAAAGCAAGAGTTCAGCAAAAAATCTCATTTACACAACATTTCCCCTTACTCCAAATGTAACTGATCTGCCAAGACATGCTTGGCAAATAAAGTTAGCTTCTTTAATTTTGCACTGGAGCTGCAAGTCTAGCTAAGAGGTTAAAGCTCATACCCCACCAAATAAGCATCATGCAAACTGCATGGCTACATCATCACAAACCTGCCTCAAACAGTGTTTAGATGTTAAGTACTCCTAAATAGACTTGCCTGTGTGATTTCTGACAGTATTTAACATACTGTTATCTGTAAAACTGGACAAAATTCAGACTACTACTGTTTTTAGCTATATGATGCACCTTTGTCAGTTTTTACAGATAATGCCTTGTCATATAACTCTATTTGATGCAATTTGAGATAAAAGTGTGATGAGTTAGGTGTGCTGTTTGTATGATGCTAAGTGGTGGTCATAACCATGTAACACTTGTTTGCTACATTAGCATTATAGCTCCAGTGCAAATCTTAAGAAGCCAGTTTTAGACACCAAACATGTCTTGACTGATCGGCTATTTTTAAAGTAAGGAGAAAATTGTATACATCTGATTTTTCAACAAACTATTGCCTGAAGTCCATTACCTCTCTCTATGGAAGGTGTTCTTGTCTTGTGGGACAAAGTGCAGTGTTTGTGGCAGACTGAGGGCCCAAAAGACAAAACATTATAAAAGCAAAGAAAGTTTAAAAAAGAGTTTTATTAAATGTATAGCATTACACTATACTTTTGCTAGTAAAATACTTAAAATTTACTTAAAAAAAAATCAAAAAGAAAATAAGAATGCAATAAATGTATAGAAAAATGTTTGTTCTATTATTTGGTGAGAGGGTGAGGTTAGGGTAATTATTTGGCAGGCCAAATCAACATGAATCAACACGGGCCAACTTTGGCTCGCAGTCCACACTTTGGGGAGCCCAGTTCTTTGGTAATTCAGGTTAAATAATGTATAAACAATACGTAGATCACTATAGTTTTGATTACTTCATATTTTATGTGTCTGGAATTTATGCCTCAGGTACTAAAGCAAAATCGGCCTTGAAGAAACCATTAATTCAAAGATTTACTCGGAATTGCCTGCAATCTGACGTACCATTGACATACCATATTGTTGTGCTCACTGATGAATGGCTTGAAAAGATAAAGCTGCCATGGCAACAGTGTAAGGCCTTGAACGGGCAGGATTTAATGGGGTAGGAGGGCATGGGGGCGTGGAACTGATTTAATGTAATTTTCCAGTCCACCAAATGGAATCAATTACTGTGACACACCTTCTCCACGTGCCTTTTGGTTTGTTTCAGGCATCAACATTGTCAATTTGTAGAGCCTCAAAGCACCAGAGTTTCACATTGATTAGCCTCGATTTAGGTTACATGCTGCAGTTTTCTTGGCCACACAAGTCTGACAGTTTTGCACGCTGTCGATTCTCGCATGGTGTGAGGATGTGTGTGGGTGAATGTACATGCCTGCTTGTGCTTGCATATCCTGACAGCCTTGATTCTTAAGAAACATTTTTGTGCCAATATATGTTTTTCCTATCTCATTAAAGTAGAAGCCTCTCTTTCTCGCTGCCTGCCATGCTCAGAATGAGTCATCAAACCACAACTCTCTGGAAGGTCTCCAAGTCTCTCTGTGGTGGAAATGGACAAAATAGCCTTGTGAAATCTGCCTCTTTGGCCAAGCGCATTATTATATTCCCCCTTGCCCAGTGATATATTATATTAGGTTGGGGTCATTGATAATTGAATTTCTGAAATGTATGAGAAGTGCATTTTTCACAGCTATCCATGAGACATCTGCTTCCAAATATAAAGCATAATTGTTCCTGTATATACAGCATTAGAAGATCGATTCACAAATCAATAAATTGTATATGTGTACTGTAGATTGTTATGGATTTGGCAATTCCTAGGCACATTACTGTCTGTATCAAAATAACAATTAGGCACTTTTAACGATTAGAAAGACATGACAGTTAAGCAGACTCAGTTGATTAAGATCCAAGATACATTGTTGCAAGACATGACTGGCCTTTAAACAGGACCTTATGAATTTATGACAACCTAACTAGCTCTCACATTCTTGCTCCTGTATGTCATTGTATATTACCTGTATTATTTCTTTTGTGACTTACTTTCAGTTGCATGTGTTCAGATATTTAAGCCTTGGTTATTTCTTTGTCTAGGTAAATAGAAGGTGGCAGTTTGAATGTACAGAAAATGAAAAATATAGTAACCTATAGTTCTGTTCTTTCCAGGTTACATGGAAGATTCCATGAACTGGCTCCACATTTAGTTCCTATGGACTACACAGACGATCCTGATGTTAAAATCCCTTTAGCTCTCATAGTCAACATGCCAGAACTGAAGGTAAAATGACCTGTAACACAGTTTGGGATAACAACCAGTATTGCATTTAGCTCAACAAGTGCACGCCATAAAAAATGTGTTACCCTTGTTAAAACACCAAGACACTTGTTTGATGACCGTGACTGCACTTTAGATTTGATATCAAATCTAATAGACACTTGCTTTTATAGTGTGAAATTGGTTTTTAATGGGCAGCCTGGCTTTGCTGTTTATATGACAAAGCACAGCCCGTGGGAGGAAGGGCAGATTACACCACTGAGCTTGTGAAAGTTAACACTCCATGAGATGATGCGTTTCAGCGTATTATGTTAGAGCTTCTGATTTTCCATGGTTGTAAAGAGGCATACGGTTAATCTTGAAGCCTCTGATTTTAGGGTAAAGCTTCTTTATTTGCAAATGGATTGGTTATGGTAGCGAAAATAAGTGGATTGGCCAGTACATTTTTGTAGTGTACTAGATCATCGTAATGTCGGCTAATAAAATAAACTTTTGTGGCTCTGCTTCTGTGCAGGACATTGTATCCTTGAATCATTCTTTAAAATTGTATGACGTCATTTTAAACATTCTTTGTGGGCTGTGGTTTATCCAGCCTAAGACTGAATTTGGCTAAATATCACAGCTTCTGGTAAACTCTTCTTGACCTGCCACAAGCCATCTGCCATGCCAGATTCATCATGTTATAACCTCAGCTAGGGCCACCATAATGTATCCTTGCAGATGACATAATTGCTCCTCACTGTAAAGATGTCTTGTGGGCAGAAGGGCAGTAAACATCATTGTCAGAGGTGGCGAATCCTGATGGAGACCACTCAGATTGGAATTGATGAGCCCCTGACAGCACCTAGTCTCCAAAAGTCTTTCTAGACCTCATAAGCGTAAATCTCTACCAGTCTCTCCTTCCTCCCTGGCTGCTAATTAGCCCTTGTGTGCTAAAGTGAAGTGATTCACGACACATCACAAAGTCCAAAGGCTGTTCACCTGTCATTATAGTCTACAAACTGTTTTTTCTGTACTGACCTAATTCTGACCTCAGATCAGCTACACTATGTTCAGCTGTTTTAGCTGTTCATACAAGCACAATCGCCCCCCCAGCGCAGAAGGATAAGCGGTTTAGAAAATGTGTGTGTGTGTGTATAATGTATAATTTATGTTATTATTAAGTAATTTGGACCATTTCATTATCAAATGTTTATACAGTGTAAAGATGTAATTTATAACATGCTACTAAAATAATTCAAAAAAGCAGTTTTAAAAAGAAAATACAAATGCAATAACAAAATGTGTTTGATCTCTCATTGGGTGATGAGGTGGGGTTAGGGTAATTATTTGGCAGGCTGAATCAAAAGCTACTATATAAAAAAATTTGAATCTAGGTATAGAATTCATTTTTTCCTGGACAGACCTCTAAAATCCAGGACAATCCAGGAAAATCCTGGACAGGTGGGAATGCTACTTGTATATGGTATGCTATAGAGAACTAGAGCCAGAGCTTAGACCATAGATTTGACCTCTCTTACTTGTACTATTTGCACTGTACCCAGAGCTGTTGAGTCAGCCGATTGTGTGGGGCATAAAAATTCCTTGCAGCCATTGGAGAGTTCACTGGGAGAGAAATATATGGGCAGCAGCATGGAGAGTCAGCCTTTCTGCATTTTACACGCTTCCCACTCAGCAGAAGTGGCTCCGTTATGCACACACTTAGGCACTGTAAGTGATACATACAGTGGTGCCTAGGCATAGGCCTACATACTGCAATGTTTTAGGCTCAAGATTTAGCATCCATTATCCTACACTGACAAATATCTGACAAATGGCACAATACTCCAACATCTTATCTGTTTTCCCCCTTTCTGTGCCTTTACCTGAAGATTTATTGCAGTGGTCTTATCAATGCGTATTCTACAGGAAAACCCATTCCGGAACAGGATTGTGGAGTCCTTCTCCGAGGACGGCCTGGGGAACCTCAGCTTCAATGATTTTGTGGACATGTTTTCGGTCCTGAGTGAGATGGCCCCTAGAGAGCTAAAAGCCATTTATGCTTTCAAAATATATGGTAACAGAGCCTCCTTTCATTAGCCCATATAAATTTTGTAATGTATGTCCTTATAGAAATTTAACTGCTCTGTGTCGTGGCTTTAGTGGGCCTAATAAACTTGCATTTATTTCATACCCTTCATAATGATACTGTTATATTATATGAGACCAAAAAAAGGCAGACATTAACTCCATGCTCCTAATGGTGTTTCATTTGTAGATTTCAATGTTGATAATTACATCTGCAAGGAGGACCTTGAGAAGACTCTGAACAAGCTGACGAAGGAGGAGCTGACTCCAGAGGAGGTGAACTTGGTGTGTGAGAAGGCTATTGAGGAGGCTGACTTGGATGGCGACAATAAACTCTCTTTCGCTGACTTTGAAAACATGATCTCCAGGGCTCCTGACTTTTTAAGGTACAGAATGTTACTTACTGATTTGAATATTGTGCTTTGAAAAAAATTGATTCAAATATGTATATCATTTCCACATATACATGGTTGTATGCAAAAGTTTGGGCATCATATTTAAGTTTGCTCCCTGTAGAGAACATGTTAGCTTACACTATATAGCCATAAGTATGTGGACACCTGACCATCATACCTATATGAGCTTCACATTCCAAAACCAGCGTCCACTCTTCTGGAAAGGATTTCAACAAGATTTTAGTGTGTCTCTGGGAATTTCTGCCCATTCAATCAAAAGAGCATTTATGAAGTCATTCACTGATATTGGATGAGAAGGCCTGGCTCACAGTCGTTGTCCCAGTTCATCCCAAAGGTTCAGTTGGGTTGAGGCCAGGGCTCTATGCAGGCCACTGGAGTTTTTCCACACCAACCTCGAAACCCTGTCTTATGGACTATGGTTTGTGCAGAGTCATGCTGGAACAGGAAGGGTCTTCCCTTAGCCCAAATCCTGAAAAACAGCCCCAGACCATTATGCCTCTTCCACCAAACTTCACCGTTGGTACTATGCGTTCTAGGAGGTAGTGTTCTCCTGACATCTGCCAAACCCAGATTCGTCCGTCAGACTGCCAGATAGTGAAGTGTGATTCATTACTCAAGAGAACACATTTCCACTGCTCCAGAGTCCAGTGGCAGTGTGCTTTACACCCCTCCAGCTGGCACTTGGCAATGCACATAGTGATCTTAGGCTTGTGTGCTGCTCGGCCATGGAAACCGATTTCATGAAGCTCTTTTGCTGATGTTACTTCAAGAGGCAGTTTAGAGCTCTATAGTGAGTGGTGCAACAGACGATAGGCAATTTTTACATGCTATGCGCTTCAGCACAGACAGCTGTGAGTTTGTGTGGTCTACCGCTTCATGGCTGAGCTGTTGTTGCTCTTAGATGCTTCCATTTCACAGTAACAGCACTTATATTTGACTGGGGGAGAATTAGCAAGGCAGAAATTTCACAAACTGACTTGTGACAAAGGTGGCATCTTATAACAGTACCATGTTTAAAGTCACTGAACTATTTAGTATGACCCGTTCTACTGCCGGTGTTTGCCTATGTAGATTGTATGGCTGTGTGCTATCTATTAGTAATGAAATATTGAACTCAATAACTAGAATGGGGTGTTCATGGGCTTTTGGCCATATTGTATATTTTTACTTTGGGGGGAAAAAAAACATGTAATTTGATCAGGGGTGATCAGGGGTTGCAAGTTTTTGCATATAACTGTAAAGTCACTGGTCACTTTAGTAGGTACATCTACCTTGTACCCACACTCATTGTCCAATTTATCATGTCCACTTACCATATAGGTGCATTATGTAGCTCTGCAATTACAGATTGTAGTCTCTCCGTTTCTCTGCATAATTTGTGAGTGCCCCTTTGCATGGTTCATCAGTCAGGACCCCTACAGGATCAGAAATGGTATTATTTGGTTAGTGGATCATCTTCAGCACTGCAGTGACACTGACATGGTGGTGGCTAATAAAGTACCTAATAAAGTAGCCACTGAATATATGCAGCCTTAGCATTTTGGTTGGGGTGCCCCAGTCAAATTATGCTTTTTTGACTTCTAAGCAAAAATAAGTTAACACATCCACAGAGAGAACACTTCTGCACATTTTAATTCACAGTTACTGTTTATTTGCTAAATTTAACACGTTGAAAAGGTGTACAGATTAAAATGTGGCCTGTGTAAAAGTTATGGGACATTTTATAATTTATGTTTTATTGCTTTCCAATATATTAAACTTAGCAAATAAATAAAAAATGTGCACTTAAGTTCGCAAGAAAATGCCATATTTAAGTTTGGGGGTGATAACTTTCGCTTAGAAAATAAACATAACATGACTGAGGGTATTCAAACTTTTGCATATGACTGTGTATACTATAGTAGTATATTGCAGCAACAAATTTTTTGTCTTTGGTTTTCTTACTTTGGCATTAATTGTGTTGATGTGATATATGTTGTTCATGTGGAACTGATGTACAGATTTGAAGTAAATTCAGTGCATTATATTTTTCAGTGTTTGATCTTGTGCTTGAAAGATATATTGTAAGAGAGAGAAAAAAGAGCCTTTGGAATAAACTGTTAAAGGAATGAAAGGTTGAGCAGAAGAAGCACAGTTTCTCCTTTCCTGTCCATCAGACTTTGTCTCCCATTAGTGTCTCTCCCTGGATGGTTGATGGACACAGAACGTTACCCTGGTTAGTAGTGATGTTAATCATTTTAGTGGCACTCTGCCCTCATCAGTGCCGCACTGAAGTGCCACCATGGCCTCTCATTTGAATGCAGACAGGCTGCCAGAGCTGCTTCCTGCACACTGGACATTTATCACCAGAGACTCTAATAGCAGAGTAATGCGAGGCATGGACTGAAATTTGATATTTAACTTGTAAATCAGTGCTAGTGGTTAGAAATACTTCACCCAAACTGGTGAATCTTATAATAATGTATGAAAACTAGTTTGAGTTAGTATTATGCAAATGTAGCCAGGCTGAACGGTCTCTGTTTATTTTCATTAATTTTAGCCACATTGTAGGGATGCATGCATAATGTACATAATGTAAGTATGTTATGAACACCAGTGCTATAAATGATCATCTATAAAACAACATAAAAAAATAGGATGCCACAAACAGGGATAGGAGGAATGTTTGTTCTGTATGTCAGTACTAGACATAATAATTATCACTTTAGATGCCGGAAAATAACAGTTGCCAGTGTCATGAAATACGCTTGCTAGCTGCTTCCATGTCCTATCTTTGGACTCATAACTACATTTTTTCTTGGTGCACTCACCATGAAACGTTTACACAATGTAAAAAGCCGCTGCCATTTCAAAATAAAAATATAAAAAATGGAGTGAGATTTTCCTATGACATCAACAACATATATCATTGTAATATTACAGCCCATATGTCGTTGCTGTAGAAACAAAATTGTGTATCTCCATCTGAAGGCATCTCCAGCTGCCTTTTTCATTGTGTGAAAATTCATTGTGTCATTTCTCCTGTAAAGTTACCATTTTGGAGATGTGACATTTTGTTTCGGCAGTGACAATATAATACTTTTCTACATATCATTCCTGAGGCATTTTATTTGTTACCTACTTAGGCAATCATGAAAGCACAGGACAGTTTACCGATAGTTTAGGCATTTTTACACTGTTGATTATGGGATTATTATTCAAAACAGTTCCCCTGTTGTTGTTGTTGTTTTTCTTTTTCTTTTTTTGCTTTACTTGCCTATTGCAATAGTTTGGAATAGGTCAGAAATAGTCAAATTTTCAGAACTTTTAAAAACTTGTGTTTGCAAGAAATGTATATCCTATGCGTTATACATTGTGGATATTGCATAATGAACTGTCCTAATTAGCAACATGGAACAGTCAGTCCATTTTATTCTTTAATCAACCAGTATGTGCTGAATCTTTGAAGCCAGCTCATCTTGCTTGCACTCCCTGAACTGTATGCGTCCTACTGTAATTTGACTGTGAAGCGTTCCAATGCATTTTATGGGGCAGCCGTTCCTCTGCTCGACATTTACAAGCTGTTGGGACTACACAGCTGCGCCTCACTGCCACAAAGGGAAGGAGAGTGACAGAAGGCTAGTATGTCTTTGCTCTGCAGTTTAGAGTAATGCAAAAAAACCCAGCACTGAGTCTTTGATACACAAGAAAATGACCAGGGAAAAATGAACTAGATGAACTGAAGTTAAAGGGCCATATCATAAAAAGTCCTCCCTTTTTTAAATAAAACAATAGAATTTGATGCAGTATTTAAAACATATATGGAACTTAACCACAAAAAACAGCTTGCTTTAAAGTAATTGTTTAGAATGTTATAATGTTACCAACATATATATCTGTATATTCAGCCCAACACAGTTTAACCCATACCATTCATATTTTAGCTATAAGTGGTGTTATAGCCTAGATTGCTTCTTGAAGGCTTTGGGCAGAAGAGGGGATAAAATCCAAGACAAATGTAGGATATGGCCTCTTGATTTTGAATATTTATATTAATTAGCTTTGGAAGGGTTCGTTCAGCACTAAAGACTTGCCTGTGTAGAAGAATTTGTTATTGTGAAAATACTTTGAACTTGTTGTAGCATTTATCCAGAATAACATAGATTTGTTCTGTAATTCTACCTTGTAAGCCCAAAGTAACTAAATTTTACTCAGAACAGGCTTGCTTCCTGCCATGAGTCATGTAGGCAGGTATCTCACACTCTCATTGTTGTCGTATGGTGCAATGTTACCTTATAAGTCTTATCAGTGAGCTGCTCTGTTTGAACGGTTTGCGCTGAAGTTCTCAGTGGAAAAGTCGTTAAGGAGAGGAAGCAGTGTGGTGGGCAGTGGCTGCCAAGAGCTTAGGACAGAGAGAGAGCCACATATACGTGGAACGATCTGGAGATTCAATCTGCCACAGCTTGTGAAGTATTGCACAATGGAGAGTGCAGGATGGTTCAGACATAGTGTGCGGGTGCTTCGGCAAAACCTCCACTGAATCCTGCTGCTCAGACACATCCATCGTGGATAATGGGTAATAAAGGATGAAGGGGAAATAATATATTGCAAAGTCTAGAGAAAAGCAGAAGAAGCCATTTTAAAATGTCTTGTCTAATTGCTTTGTTTAATGTTCTGTAGTAGTAATACATGTTAGTGTTTTTTGCTTATTTATGTGCTGTTTGTGGCATATGAATTATTTGTCAGTCAAAGTTATGGCAAAAAAGGTTAGCTTAGCCTCCAAAAGGAATGCCTAAGAACTTGTTCTAACTGACAAAATCACAGAAGCATAAGCAGTACCTTTTGTTGAGTATTTTACTGGTGTTTATGTCAGGTTATTTCAACATAATTCTCTATGCAAAGGGAAAATGTATTCAAAAGCCATCTGTTCCACTTTTCATTGTCCATTTGTCTTTATACCCCATTGTACTTGCAGACAGACATATGGACAATTGCAGTCTTCTGCAGGTTCAGACAGCATTGATGGTGGTCTACTGCAAGGTTATAAATCAGAATGTAGCACAGATTTGTTCATTTTTGTGCTGTTGCTACTGTGCTGGAACACATTATGTCACATTTTTCAGCAATATTCTGATTTATTTAGTTTGAGAAAAGCCATAGCTGTGCCAAATTTATAAATACATCTGAATAGGAGTATTTCTTCTTAATAAACTGTTTTTTTTTTCCCCACCCTCTTCTCTTTTTCCCTTTCTCTGATGCAGCACCTTCCATATACGAATCTAAGAGGGCTTTCTTTTTCATGAGAGATTACTCAGTCACGCTTCTTTGGAGCTCCTGACTGCAACTTGAAATCTTCTTGAAAACCTTGGAAATATAGAGACCATAGTAGTGCCTGTCCTCTACAGCTCTGAAGAGTTTTCACCTTGACCTTTTCAAACAGTGCTCACTTGGGGAACCAGGATTTTGGATCTCTTTGGCTCTGTATTTACCTTTTTTTCTGAGGAAGCACATTTTAGGAAGAGGAATACAGACAAAATGCATGACTTTTTCCTGCTGGAAAAGTTCCACTGTTGGTTCTGATCTTCAGAATGGAAGAAAAAACACCTGGAGGCTTTGGGTCTATGTTGGTGTGTCCCATGCACCTGTGTGGTGTTTAAGGAAGACTAGAGTATGGACTGCTCTAATGGTCTTATTACTCTATGTCAGACTCTCCTCCTGATGACTCCTCTCACCTAGGATTAAGATATGTGTGGCGCAGAGGTGGACAGATGAAGATGGAAGAGGAAGAGAAGAATGGCACAGTGTAGAGACATATAGAGGATGGAAAGGGTGAAAAATTAAGAGAAAGAAAAAGAGGGCTAAAAGCACAGCACTGGCATCACAGTCAAAAAAAAACTTTTTTTATACAGCTATGCAATCTTTCTCCATGAAATGCATGAGTTGCATTAAGTTTGCCCCCTGCTATAAATTGCTTTTGGTGTGTCTGGTTATCTTGTTTCTCGTACTGCTTATAGGACTGGAGCATGACGACAATCATATCAAACTGTTCTCCAGTTGAACGAAGGGCTCTGTCATCTTGTCTTATATTCCGCCATACAGTTTTTTTGTTGTGCTCTTCCCCTTCTCTAGTATGAACGTGACATGTGATAGCTTCACCTGTCTCTTAACTTCAGGCTTTTTTCCAGTATTTGATGTCATATAGGGCATTTGACTTAACTTTGAATAAATAATTTTCTGTCGTTTGTTGACTGTGTGCATCTGTTTCATGCTGACTGAGTATTTTTGCACCAATTGGAAGAATGTGATAATGACATACAGTCCAATTTGTATAATATTGATTCTAGTCTGCAGTGCCAAGCCTGAATTTCTCTATAGCTTTAGTATTTATATCTAAGAATGAAGTATATCATCATGCAGATAATTTCCTCAATGGATTGCTCATAGGAAAAACCTGAAGAATATTTGTGATATAATTTCTGGCTTAATACATATTATGCATCATGTTGTACACATAGAACTTTTGTATTGATCTGATGTGACTACAAAATTATTAACTCTCATAATAGTAATGGGCAGGAACTGAATTCCTTGTCACACACCAAAGGGAAAATACACTCTCATTACTCTACTTGCTACTGCATATTTGTCTCTCTACTGTCCTTTGTCAGCCTAAATCCCCAGCTCCTGCAGCTAACACCCACCAGCCTTCCCAATAAAGATGGACCAGTGATTATTCCTCTGCACCTCCTGTCGTATAACCTGTAATGACTTTTTAAGTTGAATGAGATCGTTAGGAGCAGCGCTGTCTCAGCACCCAGCAGCATGATTATACCGACACACTGGAGCGCGGTAAATCTGGGCCCAGAGATGCACAGGCAACTGTCCTTGGCCATATTAGCTGGGCTGATGATTTATTGCAAACTCTCCCCCACTTAAAAGAACAGGGTTGAAATTGATTCAAAATAAAGTCAGAGGTGAGATTTGTTGCATAAGAGGGAAAAAATGTGTATGTACACGAGGGGAAAAAAGGAAAAACTAAGAGTCATTGTCATGGTCCAACTCAGCAATATTTAATTTCTCGTTTTGGTCACAATTTGCATTAAGATTCTCTTAAAGGGTCCATGTTATATGAGTGTTTAATTTAGTATGTCAACAAGTTTTAAAAATGTACCATTCACTCCCCAGGCCATACTGTCCATGTAAACTAAGCTGAAAAAGCATTCTGAATTCAGTGTTTTATGATGTCACAAAATCCAATGCAAACTAGTGCAATGAATTGTTGTCTCTTTTTTGACACAAAAGTTTGATGTAAAATATAAACATTTCTAAAACCTTTCTAAAAAATTTCATATGCAAACATACCATTCCCACCCCGGTCCATATATGGAAAAAAATGGAAAAATTTGTAAATTTGAATTAAAAATTAATACATTTGAATTAATTATTTCTGTGATGTCACAAAAGCTAGCACATTTACATATGTCTAACTATTCATTTGACAGCAGTTCAGCTCCACCCATTCACACTGAAGTTATGAGGAGTAATTCAGTCTGGACAGCTTTCTGAATGAGGCACAATACATGGCAGCCAATTACACACAGATCTTTTACGTAGATCAGTCTTAAAGGCACAGTAACAAAAACAGCATGTTTAATTGTAAGAAATAAAGAGGGGTTGGAAATGGCAAGGCAAGTTTATTTATATAGCACTTTTCATACACTACTGCCTTTCAAAGTGCTTTACAAATGAAAAAATCTAAAATTTTAAAAAATGGTCATGTAGACATTATGACTGTTTTGGTACATAAAACCACACAAATGGTGAAAGTAGACTTTAGGAGGACACAAAAAAGTGTGGGCAATTTAACTAACATAATTTACTGTATTAGTCAATGTTAACATGCTATGAACTTCAGCATCAATACACCATAAGTATTGTTAACAAAGTAACACTTTCACTAGCTCACTAAATAATGAACACCTGCATTAGTTAAAATTAACAAAGCATGAACTTCAGTATTAATAATGGTTAGTTAAAGGAATGTTGCTGTCATTTTTTGCGTGTTCCATCATACATTTTAAAGAAAATGTTTGCCACCATCTGCACCAAACTGTAGTCTAAAATATGCTGCATATAACATATTATGCAGGAGAAGGATATGGGAAATGTCATTTTCTTTAACATACAAGAACACCCTCCAAATGGCTGGCTACACCTCTGCCCTACAGTAAGGAAAACACAGTTTGATTCTCAAATCTAAAAGCATTTCAGATAAATCTAGTTCTAGAAGATCACACTGTGGGTTTGCTTCAACACTGCAAGAGTTTCTAGACATAAAAAAATGAAATGGCTGGAGGAGAGATGTGAGAGGGAGCATTTTGGAGTCAGTGTGGAGCAGTGTGCACTCATTAGGGGAAGGCAGCCCATGCTAATATGCCATTAATTCCTCCTGCCGTTACCTCCAGCTCCCTTTATGAGGTCCGTGTTAAAATCTGTGGGGGGATGTAAGTGCTGATGATGCGGCTTCATTAATTACGCTCCTCAGCCCGAGCAGCTGCTGATTTAGATCCCAATAGGAGAGCTTCTGTTCGAGTCTGATACAGCCACCGAGCCCGCTGGACTGTAAAGTGGCCATTAGAGTATTGATTCCCTGGCCTTTGGTGCAAACCAGGGCGTCAGCGTCTCCTTTCAGGTGAACACACACACATGCTTAGGCCAGTGTTGCTGGACTTGGTTGTCCTCTAATCTCATTTGACCATTGTGAGGGTCCATGATAGCGCCTTGGCAGCCATCTACATGCGGTTTTTAAAAGCAGCTCAATAGCACTTAGAGCTGCATTTTTATTAGCAATGGTGCCAAAAATTGGATTTCTCTGGGGAGACGCTGTAAAAGAACCTTTTTGCTTCCACAAAGAACCTTTAACTGGGTGGTTCTTCAAAGGGCTCATATAATTAAAAGCTGAATTTTATGCACTTTTTTGAAATAAAACATTTTAAAGTTTCTACCCATCCCATACAGTCTATATATGTTCCTATATCCAACTATTTGGCATACCCATTCACACTGCCTGATTCATATTGAAGTTATATGGAGTGTTTCAGCCCAATCACAACAGAGCTCATTTACATGTATCAGCCTGAAAGGCACAGTAACAAAACAGCCTGTTTAATTTTAAATGATAAAGAGAGTTTGAAAATTGGCAGCCCAAAATTGTTTATGGCTGTTTGTGGATCATAAAAGCACACAAGCTTTATAAGCAGACCTCAGGGGAAAATATGAAATGCAAGAAAAGTGTAGGCTATGGCCCTTTAAAAACTATTTTCAGAAATGAATATGAGTGTGAAGAAACCTTTTAGAATCCATTAGAACTTCCACATAGTGTAAGGGTTCTATACTATAAGTTTTTCCTAGAACCATACACACAAACCAAGAACAGTTTTTTTTTTTCCTGTTGCTGGTTCTCATGTTTGGAAGATCATCAAAAAGCATCAATTAGTGCATAATAATGACCTAGAAAAAAAGCAGGTTAGTACCCAAATATAGTTTTCCCTAGTAATGATGTGACGAAGACATAACACAGTGTTCCTTTGTTCAGAGTGCCACAACAGCCTTCCTGCATACTAACCCATATATTTACATTCATGTTTTATTTATAGTTCTGCTTGTTTGTTTTATATGGGGTCATTGATGCTTGGCTTCTACACCAGATGCAAACTATCTCTCTCTGTTTTCTCCCTGTATTTAACAACAGACGCTCTTGTTTTTATGTGATTATCAGGACAAGGATTTTAGAACATGAGGTCATAGGTATTATATTTACATTTATTAATGACACTTTCTTATCCATAGCGACTTAAAGGGCCCATATTGCAGAAAATTGAACGTTTTCCCTTTTTTTTAATTAGAGTTTATTGTAGTACTGAAATATAGCTAAAGTTTCAAAACATACTCTTCACACTTTCTTCACATATACAAAGCAGCCTGAATACAGTGTTTCTGTGACATCATGAAAAGTAACACATTTACATGTATCTGCCTTTTCAGCTTACAGCACTTTTTCTCCATCCATCCTCGTTGAAGTGAGTGTTTCATTGACAGTTATTTGAACAGGGATGTTCAACTGCATATGTACAGTCCTTATAGGAAAGTCTGTTCACTCAGTGGTCATCTTCGCAACGCCGCCAGGTAGTTGTTTGGAGCCATACAAGACCAGGCTCCTGTCTTGTTGAATGGGGAAAGACTAATCTTAATCTCTGCAACCAAATGAAATGTTTGAAATGTTTTAAAAATGGGGAGCTTTACAAGGTCAGGGCCATTATGTTGGCTCTGGCTAGTTGTTGTAGGCTAGGCCTGTTTATCTCTGGTTTTGAACATTTTTTGTCCTGAAAATGTACACAAACAAACACACACACACACACACACACACACACACACACTAATATCTGAGGACACCGTTATTAAATCAGCCTGCTCTGATGTAGTGATGACTCTCTTATTTATGAGTTCAGCTTCCCACAAAAACAGGATCCGTCAGTGTTGACAGCTTTACTGCCCCCCTTTACATGAAAATCTTGTCCGACACTATTTTGTCTCTTGGGTTTGTGCATTACTGTGCAAATCATACAGTGCTGCCTCTCGAGGGAGACAGAAAGGACACAATAAATTTCCTTTATACATAAATCATGTGTTTGGACATGTTGTACTAGCCAAGGGAGGTTCTTTGAAATCTGTTTAAGATGTGGCTAACATTACGCAGGTTAATCCTATAATGATTATGTACATGTATTATTAACCTATATTGTAATATTGCATTTGAATCATGCTTCATAGCATTATGCTTTTCTTCAGGTTGCTAATAGCTTTTGCCTTCTAAAATGACATGCTCACACAGACTGGTGCAGTTTTCCCTTTCTGGAATGTAGTCCATTTAGAACTCATCAGTCACTGGTTTGAATGTATGCAAACAGTAGAATTCTTATTGACATTATTATTCAACTTTGAGTATCAGATCTACTCATGAATGCATCTGTATAATGCAAGCAACCTAACTGGGCTTGATATCATGATCTTGATTATGGTTGAATATGGTCAAACCCTTTGACCATTCTTTACTCGCAGTTGACATTATGTGCTCTACAAACCACCTTCAGTATTTTCTCACCAAGGTAGTTATGCCCATTTCCACAAACTAGTTAGGTA